CTCCTGGCGCCATGGTGGCTAGATAGTTGGTTGGATAGTAACTGTTGTTGTTGGTTGGATCGATCGAACGTAATAACGCAGCAGGAATAAACTGCGTGTTCGACCAAATAATGAGGAAAACGGTGGACTCTCCACCCAATCTTGCGAGTGGATTGCGCGGATTCGGATTTGAATTAGCGTTGGGTTGGCTCGCGAACAGCGTTTTCCCCTACTTAACCATAATACGACTCGCCTGGAGTGCGGCGCATCCTTCCGGGTATCATTTTTGAACGCTCACTATAGAAAATAATGTACGAAATTTACTCCTGGATGATACCACACGTGTTACTTGCCGCGAAAAAGTTTCTTCGAGAAATTTAGCGGGAATTCGATGCGTTACGTTGGAAGATCATTCCGAGGAGACAATGAGACTTAGCAGCACGAAAATGTATTCTTAAGTACCAAACGAGACTAGGACCTGTGACTGGGTGTTACTTAAGGGGCATGTGACGTAACGTTACCCCAGTAACATTTGATACTTATTTCACCAAGACACCAAGAGTCAAGTGTCTTGCAGAAAACTCAACGGTGGTCCAGTCTCATTCGGAACGGTGACCCAACCGGCAGACGGTCCGAACGAAGCATGAAATTGTTGATCCAGGCTGGATGCCTAGTGAAGAATTGGTAGTTAAAGTCTGTTAATAACAATTATGAGCTGCTAGAATCTAGCTGGGTGTCCCATACTGGATCACACAGGGCCAGCATGGGAGTGCCAACTCTAACAGCTACTAACGGTTTCTGGCTCCTATGAGGAGTCCTGCACGCAGGGGGAGCCAGATGCTGGGCTTGCTGCTATCATTAAAGTGGTTGTGATATGGCCTGGGACCTAAAGACTTAAGGGTCCCTAGTGCCAGATCAACACACCCTCACACTATAATGATGCAGTGGCGAATGTTAGTTGTTGTTGTTGGTGTTGCTTGCATCTAGCAAGTACTTGGAGCGTTCAGCTCTGTGGTGCGAAGCAGGGTGATGCTTCGTAAAGTAGTCTCCTTTGTTGGTGATTCCAGGGCGCCAGTAGATTGTAAATTGGCCTTGTTCGATCCGGTCTCTGAGCCAGTAGTACCGCATGTCGATGGCCTTGGATCTCTTCTGCTTGACGGTGCCATTGAGAATCCCTTCGGCACACTTATTATCTGTCTGGATGGGTGTTGCCGGTTGCGGGTGTCCCATTTCGATGAGTGTTTGCCTCATTGGGCAGGCTTCTTGCGCATTATTGAATGCCGCCCCAACTTCAGCCTCTGCTGCCGAGCTTAAGACATTTTTCATGATTTTGACTACGACGTGGATGGCTCCATTGTTTGGTGCGTTATCGATGTCGCCATTGCTGAGGAAGAGGTAACCTCCAGCACGGGATCTAGCCTTCGGGGCCGACAAGTAGGACGCATCTGAGTGTAAATGTAGAATCATTTTGCTTCGGTTGTAGCGTAGGATGGCGTCTGGGTGTGTGGCTGCATAGTTGAGTAGCATGATGGTAGCTTGGAGTGTTTTTTCTGTTCCTTTCGTTTGTTCGGCAGCTATGTCACCTAATGCCATTAACATTGTGCAGTCGACCGCGCGAGCATAGTAGAGTAGGACCCCGACTACTTCCTGGATGTGTTTAATTCCTGTGGGTGGGAGTGGGGCTGTTGTGTCCTCTGGCTCAGCGTATTGAATGGCTTGTCCGTATTGGGGTATGTTCCACTGGTGTGGGGCATGCTGTGGTTTGAGTGGTTGTGCATGATTGAATCTTTGTAGTGCCCTTCGAACGTATCCGGGCATGGATAGGTCGACAGTTCCTTTGTCGTAGTCCCATTTCAAATGGATGCCACAGTAGAGCTCTCCCTTCCAGTCAGTTGTAATTTTGTATTCCTTTGCCAGTGTGTCGATTAGATGCATGGCATTTTCAGTGCCGACGTATTTGACGCCAAAGTCGTCGACGACCAGGGTGAAGGCAATGGGTCGTTGCTTGTGTTGGAAGAGCCCATGAACATGCTTCGATTGAATGTAATCGTGGGCTGTGAGGTATTCGACGAGCGCATCATTGGCGATGCGACCAGCCTGTGGGAGTCCATACATTCCTCGATTGATTTCGACCATTACGTATCCATTGTGTACCAGATCATGGAGCTGATACTGGTTCATTATTTCGTCTGGTATGCAATCGACAGGTATCCTCATGTACTCAGGTCTTTCCATTGGTGTATTGAGGTAGAAGTCCTTGATGTCGATTGACATGAACTTTGCGTCTGGGGTGGAGATGACACTATTCAGGTGCATTTTGACTGTTGTGAGTGAGGCTGTTTTCGTGCTGACCTCAAAGGGGTACTCTATTCGGTCTCCTCCCACTGTAAAGCGGACCCGTCGGATCTCTGCTTTCTGTGGTCTATCGTCACAGACGACTCGCAAGTACGTTGGCTTTCGTCCTTCCGGCACGTCCGTGTATTTGATGAAGCGGATTGTTTCAGTTCCTTTGAGTCCAGTGGACTTCCTTCCCTTCGCTAATCGTCCGATTTCGTTGCAGCATGCACTGATCCAGTGTGGTCCATCAGTGGACTGCTTCAGGACTCTGTAATCTGACAAGACTCCGGTGTCTGGGTTGACTGCTTTGTTGGCCTGTTCCGTTGGTGTCGGTGCTGCTTTCGCTGGTTGGATGTGCTTCTTGCTGCTTCGGCTTTTGTGCCGTGTTTCGGATTTGTATGTGGGTGTGCTTGCATCCACCCTCAGAACTGCGTCAGGGGGTTGTGGCATTGTTTTCGTATTCGCTGCTTCGTTGTTGGGCTGAATTGCTTCTGCGGTTAGGCGCTGGTGTAGCCGTCGATCGAACATTCCTGCCAGGTCTAACAGCGTTCCAGCTTCACTTTCAGTTAGTGTTTGAGCTTGCGGATTGGTGTTCGGTAGGGATAAGGCGGTGGCAATGTCTTTGATCCCTCCGATGGCGATGTTCAGCGGTGTTGGCAATGGGCTCTGTAGTCGTTCAGGGAACCAAGATAGAGTGTCGGCTTTGCGTTCACGTTGGGTATCCCAGATCCATGTGCGAAAGCACCGGTAGGCATCAAGTTCTGGTCCTATGTACCAACCATCCTTTCCTTTTGGTGCCCATGATTGTCTTTCATTTGGTTTTTCATGTACTACGACATGTATTCCTGGGGGTGCAATGGGTGTGGCGGTAAAGTCATATGTGCCAAAGACTTGTGCGTGTGCTGATAAGGCTGGATTGATGCGTGAACCTCTGAGTAGATTGAGGGTTATGGTGCACTGCGGGATGAGTTTGTCCCATAGATGGAGAGGGAAGTTAGTGTCGGTGGTGCATAGTCCAGCAATGAGATGGTTCTTGTATGTCTGTATAGCTCGCTCTGCTGCATTTCGTCGGTGAATTCCTGCTGGTGTGGTTTGTAGTTTGGTGCCAGTTTGTTGGATGTGGTCTTTGAGCAATTGTGAGCATTCATTGTCCAGCATGTGTAGTTTCGGTCTCATTCCTGCTCGTACCAGTTTGTTGTGTATTGTTGTCCATGCATTGACATGTGATTTGGCTGACCGGTTTGGCATTGGTTCAGCATGGATGGAGTTACTATCATAGTGGTAGAGGATGAAAAGATAGTTGTTGCCGGAGCTGGATGGAATGAAGAATCGTCCTGTTTGGTCTGAGAAGCTCTTTCCGGTTGGTTGGATGACTGCAGAGAAACATGCCTGCTGTAGTTCATTTTCGGCTGGTTCCTCTTGGGCCGGAAAGGCGTCCTCGTGTTCAGCTGTTGGTTCGGTGTTCTCCGGTAGAAGTGGGATTGGTTCGGGTGCCTGTTTGGTGGATTGGATGCCTTGTCGCTGTTGGTTCATGTGCCCTTTGGCCGTGGCTATCGAGTTGGGAGTATATTTGTTGAATGTCTCTGTGGTTAATCCTGGTATGTTGTGGACGTATTTCTTCTTGAGAGCTTCTTTCAATGTCGATGTGACTGGTGAGAAGAGTGCTGCATGTGCAAATGCGACTAGGTCGGCTGGTGTTGCATTGGGTGTGGTAGCCATTAGGTTGGCCGATTCTTTTGGTGACTGGAGTTCTAGCTCCCATAGACGGTTCGTGGTGACGTTACGTGTTCCTGTTAATATTACGTCTCCCATGAAAGTGATCAAGCATTCGTGTGCCCGGAAGATTGCTTCACAACCGGCGTCACAGAGTTTGCCTATGGATAGAAGTGATGTGGATCCCATTGTAGGGAAGAGGTGTGCCGTGATGGCTGATTTCGGAAGGTTTGATATGTCTAGCTGACATGTATGTGTTGATTCGATGACCGAGTTGTCAGGGAGGGTGACTCGAATGGGGGAAGTGCTTGGTTGCACATTGACGATATGTTCGTTATTAATTGCGATGAATTCGCTAGATAGAAAGTGTCCGGTGCTGCCTGTATCTGCAACTATTGGAGGGCCGTTCTCTTTGTGGTTTGGTTTGCTTTTATTTGCTATTTCGTTCGGGGGACCATTCGGTTTGTCAGTTAATAAAGATTCATTGGCTATAATGGGGTCTTTAAAAGCTACATTCTTTTTGGATTCAATTTTCTTTTTCATTACTGGTGTGAGTGGTTCCCGTCCTTCTCAGGTACGTGCTGCTGGAGGTTGGTTTTCGTCATTGTTGTCATGGTTCATGCGATCGCGTTTAGCACGACGATAGATGGGCTTTTCGCCGGCACGTCTATGAATGACGCAACATCCTCCTTGCATGTTGTCAGCTGTTGCATCGGTACGATGGCCTTCTTGCTTTTTGCTGCATGTCATGCTTGTATGTTGGTCGTTAGTTCCGAGACCATGGGACCAGCAATAATACATAATGCGTCCTCCAACATTGGTATGGGGAGTGGCCTTGCTGTTTCCTTTTTCGACGGTTTTGTTGGCATATCCCATTTCCTTTGTCGTGAGGATGCGACGTCGTTCTTTGTCGGCTGCCGTGAAGTGGGCTTCTAAGTCGGTAAATTCCTGGTTTTCGATCTCCTTCTTCCTCCAGTCGCGGAGGGCATCTGTGAATACCCCACTGTCGGTTAAGTTGTCAATGGCTGCTCGCACTGCATGTTTGTCCGTGATTGGGTCATGATCGGCTGCGAATTTTTGGGCATCCTTAACTTGATTGTAGAGGTCTTCGATGGGTTGGATGGGGCTCCATTCTGCTGTCATTCGTTTCATGTTGGCACGGAGGTCATCTGGGCCCACAGTACCATAGGTTCGGTCTAAGTGGGTGAGTAGGGTTAGCACGGTGACTTGTGCATACCCATACATTTCATGCTTGAGTGTCTTGATGAAGGTGTCGGGGACCGCTTCAATGAGCTGTTTCTTGAGAGCCTGTTCGGTTGCCTTGAAGATTAGGAATTTTGTTTCTGCCGCGGCAAAGACTCGATTGTTTTCAGTGATTTGTGGTCCTGTTGGTGCTGCTCCATGGACTGGAGCTGGTCCAGGGTGTACCGGGTTTGTCCAAGGGATGGTGTTGGGTAGATCGTTGTATTGGATTGCCGTGAGTACCAAGCCTAGGTGTCCATAATGTCCTCCTCCGAGCGTGGAGGGAATGGCCATAGCATTGGCATTGAGTTCTTGATGGATGATTTTGAGACTGTTGTAGGTTGGTTTGTCTTCGGTTGGGATGGCGGTGAGGGTGGTGTTGGAGAAGTGGTCGAGTGCCACAAAGGATGACATGGTGGATGGTTTGGACAACAGCTCTAGTGAGGACTTTGGCTGATGCTCTCGACCGATGCGTGGTGGAGAGTTTGTCGATTCAGTTAGATTGTTATTAACTGTTGATCCAGGCTGGATGCCTAGTGAAGAATTGGTAGTTAAAGTCTGTTAATAACAATTATGAGCTGCTAGAATCTAGCTGGGTGTCCCATACTGGATCACACAGGGCCAGCATGGGAGT